CCCCCCCCCTGCCCCCAACCTAGCACATGAGGTTCGATTGAAGGCTATCGTTGCTCTCTTGAATTTTCTTGTTTTTTTTGCGTCCATGTGTGTGGAGGCGAACCATTTGCATTCACCCCTAAGACGTGCAACTTGTTGTCCTACCGCCCGTAGCGCCTTTCCATTGCTGAAGGGAGGTGCATGTATCAAGGACGTTATAAGTAGAAGTATAGAGTATTGTATGAACTACCCTTCGCTCTCGTTTGGTATAAAAAACCCCGACAAGGGAGAGACAAAAGAGTGCTCGCTGGGGACCCTTGGCAGTTTCATCGCTATCGAAGCCCTTGATGGACCACAAAAAGGTTGCGGTGCGCGGGGATAGTGCCTGACGGAGACGTGTCTTGTGTGTCTACCGCGTGTTTGCGCCCTGCTGTGGCTGCTGCCATGGCTCAGGCGATTAAGGAGGCACATGCGCAACTACTGGGGTGGATAGGCACGCATGTGCACGCAAACTCGGGGAGCTGGGAAGTAGGAAGGTGAGTCTCTTGTCGAAAAGCCGGATGTGCGCCTAGCGTAAAGTGAACCACAGATGTATCTTTCGAGAATGACCCTTGTAGGGCAACGGTAAGGTGACATGCACACGTTATATCGCGCGCTGCCTATGCTGCTTCTGCTGCTGCTGCTGCTGCTGCTACTACTACTAGTGGTGCTGCTGCTACTGCTGCTGACGCTTGCCGCACACTGGTGCACACGTCTGTGAAACCCTGTGTATGTACTATGCAGGCTATCTCGAAGCGTTCTGACAGAGAGCGATTGGTGGCCCGAGGGGAAGGGGCGCAGCTTCCGCCCGGCCGCCCGCGAGATGTGGGATAGGGCGAGGGAGACCTGGCGCATTCAGCGGAGGCCAAGGTATGTCCGTGTGTGTGTTTCTTTGCTTAGCATCGACCGCGCTAGTGGCTGACCATTGAAGTTTCCATTTCGTCAGCCTTCAAGCAGGTTAAGACAATGATCTGCTGTGTATTGTGTGTGTTTTCTTGAATCGCGTCGACGGCGCTGTCCGACTTTCCTACTTCAACGCAAGACTGTGGATGTGTGACACGGTGTTGGAAGTCAAAATAACGAAGTGTATGATCGGAAGAAAAGTGAGAGAAGGGGGCGGTGGGCGTGAAACGGAGACAACAAAAGAAATAGGCAGAGAGGCGAACGTAGAAGTTGGTATTGTCGGTCGAAGGCGCCCGTTCACTTTTGCTTCCCAGGGACCCCGTTACGACTGGCTTCATTTCGGGGTGATTTGTGTGTGTGTGTGGCCATTCTCCCTCTCTCTCTCGTTTCTCGGGAGCGCGTCTTTCCCTCCTCTGCGGCACTTCTCATTCAGGGCACTCCTACTGTCTGTCAGGCAGTAGCCATCACGGCGTTTTTGGATTAAGTAAACATGTTGGATAAAGCATATGATCAGGGAAATTGGATTAGGGTTAGAGTTAGGGAATAGGTTCCGCTTACCCCCTCCCTGCTCTGTTTCATCAAATTTTTAGTCTCGCGAAGGCGGTTCTTGTCAGACCTGCTGCCCCCCTCCTGCGGATACACTGCCTTTTTTGCAAGTGTGTGCGGTTGTTTTAACTGTTTTCCTCCCCAACCCCCCACCCCCCCCCCCGGTGTTTGCCATCGGGGTTGGGTTTTCGTCGCTTGGCAACGACGTTGTAAAACAAGCCGCCCCCCCCTGTGTTTGCCATCGGGATTGGGTTTTCGTCGCTTGGCAACGACGTTGTAAAACAAGCCACTTCACTTCGTGAACTCGGCAACCAGGTTACCGTTTTTTTTTTTTTCCTCCGTTTATTTTTTTTGGGCGGTAACCATAATGATGGTTGAGTAGATCATGTTGTGCGGGGTGAACCCTCACTCCGCGCAAGGGGGATGATCGCACCACGTTGTGTTAAAATGGTCAAGCACCCTCGAGGCAGTTACACAGTGCTTACAACTGTCTCTGGAAGTGAAAGCACCAGAAAATAAATTAATTCATACGCAGCTGTCATCCGTACGCAAGGAAGTAAGCACAAGATGCCGAACACCCTTAGCAGGATGCAGCGCACCCTTCATGCGACTCGCCGAATATCTCACGGCGCTTCGCGCTTGGTGATGTGAGAGCCTGGTCCGGTGAGAACCCGGCGTGCTCCGTCCCGGCTTTGTAGGGATGCGAGGTCAATGGTCTAACGACTACGGCATGCACGACTATGAGTACACCCCCCCCCTCCCCCCCGCCCCTTGATGGTCTCCGTCTTCTTTGATGTGCTTTGTGCCTGCCTGCCCGTGCATCTCCTGGTGGTTGCACGTGGGCGACTAAACACCGAACGAAACAAAAAAACACCCCCGTTAGGCCCAGCCGCCCTCCTCGTGTCTCCTACGACTCCGTCGTGGAGGGGCTCGCCGCGACGAGGCGAACGTTCGAGCTGCCCGGGAGGATGACCCTCCCCGAGATCATCGAAGTTTTCACGGACATCTGGGAAGTCGAAAGCACGTTGTAGAGAGGGTGGATGACGACAGGGCGATGCTAACCCCCCAGCTCCGAACGCGTGGCTAATGCTCTACATAGCAACTAAGGCACGCAAAGCAGAGCTCCCCCACCCCCGGGAGCTGTGTGTGTGTCTCCGCTCAGAGCAATCGTGTAGAGGACAATGGGGGGCTAATCCTGCCCGCGCCGCGGGAGGGTCTACTTAAATAGCGCAACTGAGGCGGCTGGTGGTTGGGCGCAAAGCCGCAGACTTTGGTGGAGGGTAGGCATGGGGAGGCGAAGCGTTCCGCCCGATTTGGCGGATATCTTCTTCCCCCAGAAATACTGGGAAGTATAATGAGGCCGTTTGCATGTTGTACCTGGTCTAAGGGGCCACGGTCTCGGATCGGGTTTTGGTTCGTGGCGGAAGTACGTATGTATGCGCCGTGTGCATCGGTGCACCAGCAATTAAGAATTCAATGTTGACGTCGCTTCTGTGTTGGTTACCGTTCTCTTTTTGCCCGCCCGCCCCCCCCCCCGATTTTTGGGCTGCGTGCGTTGTTGGCCAACGTTCCAAAGTTGTGTTTCATAAGTTGTTCGTGCGAGCGTGCACACGGCATTGTCCCCCCCCTCGGTGTTTGCCATCGGGGTTGAGTTTTCGTCGCTTGGCAACGTTGTAAAGCAAGCCATTTCACTTCGTGAACTCGGCAACCAGGTTACCGTTTTTTTTTACCTCTGTTTTTTTTTTGGCGGTAACCATAATGGTGGTCGAGTAGATCATGTTGTGCGGGGTGGAGAAGCCTCACTCCGCGCAAGGGGGATGATCGCACCACGTTGTGTTAAAATGGTCAAGCACCCTCGAGGCAGTTACACAGTGCTTACAACTGTCTCTGGAAGTGAAAGCACCAGAAAATGAATTAAGTCATACGAAGCTGTCATCCATATGCAAGGAAGTAAGCACAAGATGCCGAACACCCTTTGCAGGATGCAACGCACCCATCNTGCATCGGTGCACCAGCAATTAAGAATTCAATGTTGACGTCGCTTCTGTGTTGGTTACCGTTCTCTTTTTGCCCGCCCGCCCCCCCCCCCCATTTTTGGGCTGCGTGCGTTGTTGGCCAACGTTCCAAAGTTGTGTTTCATACGTTGTTCGTGCGAGCGTGCACACGGCATTGTTCATGTTGTCTTTTCCCTCTATCGTGGTGGGGCTGTCGTGTCGTCGTAAAATACGAGTTGGCGCCGCCACTTACAGTAGTGTCCTGCCTGCAGGATTTGAGCGGACCTCTGCATGACGCTTCCATGGTGCAGGGCGCACGTCTTGAAGTAGCTATTTTGGCATTTTTGGTTTTGCCTGAGCACAGCGGAAAAGGAAGCACGCCTCGGGCTCGCTTGCTCTTCTGCCAACTTTTTTTCTGCCCGGGGCGATTGCGGTGTTTTTAAGGTTTAACCGAGACGGTCGTGCTTGTCTTGGAGTTCCGGCTAATACCACTAGAGAGAAGTGTCCCGTTTCTCTGTGGTGGGTGTTCCCTCTTGCATCGCTGCGCTTGTCGCAGTTTCACAACCGAATAGACTGATTGAACGAACTCGCTCAACGTGCGGGGTGGCATTTAGGCTGGAAGAGCTTGATGCGGGTCGCAGAGCGGGTGAAAACGGTTGCGCATAATGTGGCTCCCCCCCTACCCCTTGATCCTTGTGGAACATGGACTGGGCCGGCGAAAACCCGACATATCGCTCCGTCCCGGCGTTGTAGGGATGCGAGGTCTATGGTCTAACGACAACGGCATGCGTTTAACATGAGNCCCCCCCCCCCCCCCCCCTCCTCCGGAGGCGATCTTGCCCCAGCTGGGTGCCCGTACTGTTTCGAATGAACTCCTTTCCGACAAGCCGTCCGAACGAATATCAATACGACCTGTTGTAGCGTGTTGGATTTCGCACTGAAATCTCATGTCGGTGCGTTGCGTCCCCAAAACTGGAAATAAAAAAAAATCGAAAAACAAACCGAAGCACACCCTACCAATATCATAGCGTCCTCAAAACAGGGGGGGGGGTCAGCCAACCAGATCCACCCCATGAGCATCCTTGCCGCAATGCAACAGCACTGCTGTACTTCAGATACCCGACGCTGCAGATTCCTCCATGAATCGGGTGCTGACTTGTCTATGAGAAAGATTGGCATTGCGGGGACTCCCTTGGTGTTTCGAATCGGCTTGATTTGTTGGTCGGATCTGCAACGTATGCATACAGTTGGCGCCCGCAGTTAAGAAATATTTTGTTGAGAAATTGAGGCTCACTTTTTCATGAAAATCAAGAAAACAGGGTTAAGAAACATAGCTCAATCTGGGTCACACAAAAATAAATGTCTCAATAAGAAATACAGCGGCGACCGCTGCCCTACTACATAAGAAACGAGGGTTTACGGGGGAGTGTGTCGAATAAGCAACAAACCCCACAGCTCTCTCGCTCTTTCCCCCTCTCCCTCGACCCCCCCCCTCCCATAGTGCATTATGATTAGTTGTACGGCGAGGGGGGAGGTTCTCGTGAAACTCGGGTTGGGTTGGTTAGGGTAATTAGTCGCGAATCTCACCCCGCTTCGCGGCAGGAGTACGACTACCGCGTCATCCTGCACTGTGACGAAAGCACGCGTAGCATGAAGATGCCGTTGGAGACGTACAGCACGGATGAAGACGCCGCAATAGGGGCGTGGATACTCGGAAGGGAGCGGGAGGCGCAAAAGGGTGACAACCCCCAATGTTCGCCTCACGGAGCTTGCAACATAATGACGGGGTAGTTTTCGTTGTTGGCACGTCAGCGTGCGGGTGAGGCGTCATACGGTGTTTATGCAATTAATTGTTTAGTTTCAGCCCTCACTCATGAGCGGGATACAGGACCTTGGACCGATAGCGAGACGTTGCCGCTGGATGCATTTCGCTTCTAGGGAATGGTGGCGTGCAGCCGTCGGTAGTGAGAATCGGGGTTGAGTACGGGGGTCGAGGAAAGCAGTGCAAATCATTTGTATATTTGGAATGTTGTGTAGTATGCAAGCAGAGAAATAAGGAATTGCCGATTTGAGAAATTCAGCAGGACTTGGCTGCACGAAAAAATAAGAAACTTGACATGAGAAACTGAACGACATTGACTACGCTGAGTTTATAGCCCACAATGAGAATTCGAGGCTGGACCTGAAATAAGCGTTTGTTTCTTAACTGCGGGCGCCAACTGTATTGCACTCACGGTGTTGCGAAGGATCTCGTTGACACTTTTTTTTTTGCTGACACGGGGATCAGTCCTTGGCTTACCCATACACCACCGACTGCTCCTTCGAGTTATCGGGTACAAGCGCAAGAAAGTCACCTACCGGCAGCTCTCTTACGCCCAGACGCTGAAGAGGGTCGAATGCCAGAGCGTTGAAGCCACGATCCGACGACGACGCCTACTGTTCGCGGGAGCATTGGCAAGGCAGCCGGACGGGTGACTCCCGAAACGACTGATGTTCGGCGAACTGGCAGGGAGGGAGGTGCGACGTAGGGGGGGACAGGAACAGAACTGGCCGAAGTGTGTGCTCGACGACCTGAAGGCATTCGGGGCCGACCACGGATCTACGAAAACCGTTCCATGTTGTCTCGGATCCCAGTACCGAAAGACACGGCACCGACGTTAAATAAAGTGGACGGAAGCCGCGAAGGTAGGAGGGGGAGTACCCTGGCATGCGGCGGTGCTGCAGGGAGCTGAGAGGTTCATGACCTCCTGGCACGAGAAGGAAGAAGAGGCCAGCCGACAACGGGCGCTCAAACGAAACCACAAGCCAACAACCAATGGGGCGGGAGGGGGGCAGGAGACGGACGAGACGGCGAGGGAAGAAAGCAAACGAGAAGAGACGGACCGAGTGGCGCCATACGTGCCGGATTGAATTTCTTTTAGCCAATCCCCCCCCCCCAACGCTGCACCATTGCACCAACTCCCCACTAGTGATGACGTACCATTACAATGTATCGCTGGTTGGTGGCCATGTTTGCGTGTTTGCTTGTCGTTAGTGGTCTCTCCATCGTGTGCCTTTTTCTGTCTCTTATTTCTTGTTATTTTCGGCCTGGTCCCTTTTTGTCCCCGCTCTTCAAATTTCATTTTCTCTTTCCTTCCTGTTTCCTTTACATATCTTCCAGAAACCCAAAAAATAATTAATTTAAATATAGAACACATGTTTTTTTACCGCGTACGAATGCGTGAAAAAAATATTTCTTGTCTTGGAGTTTCTCTAGCCGAATTATATTTGGCTCTGCTTTTTTATACGATTGTTGTTACCGCATGACACAAGTTTCCTACACACTGGTGTTTGCAGATTGTTGCTTACTTTGAAAAGAGAGTAGTCAATATGCAAACAAGGACAGAGAGTCTACAGTTCAAGGCATTACACCACCACTCACTGTCGAACGGGATGTGTTGGAGTCTTTGCAGTGAGTGGAAGAAAAACGGCAGATTGTTGCTCTTTTCTTCTCTTTTTCTCTTTTCCTCTCGTTTTCTGTGCCAGATGGCCTTGTTTCTGCTTGCGTTGTGAAGTACCAAGATTGAACCAAGGGGGTGTACCTCATTCTCTCCGGCCCGTGATGGTGAACCAAGGGGGTGTACCTCATTCTCTCCGGCCCGTGATTGTTACCTCGCATAGCGCGCAGAGGGAGTGGAGGACTCTAGAATATCTGTCGTTGATTTCTATTGATTTGCGGACCCCTCGGGGCCATTTTATTTGAGTGTACCATTTTTAGGGTAAGTTAGCCTGCGACCACGGGAATCGACCACGTCGAGTGTTGCATCAGTACGGACATGCGAAGGTACTGGGTAGAGAGAGATCGGAACGTTTTAATGTGAAGACAACAACAACAACAACAACCCATGCACCCTCATAATTTATTTTCAAATTCCAAACATTGTCGAACCCTTTTCAAAAAATAATAGCTGGTGCTGCTGGCTCAGTGTCAATCACTCCACCCTCTGTGCTGGCACCCCGCGTCATCGAGGGGCACTAGGGAGAAGCTTGCTGCTGTGAACACGGGATCCTGCTGACCGAGGAAGAGCCAGAAGTAGTGGCTACAGTTGGCGGGTGAGTGGTAGATGCAAAAAAGGCGCGTGTTCTTCCTGCTGCTTTCGTTGCCGCCCTTCAGTCTCTGCGGAAAACATGAGACGAAAACCGCGCCGGACGCTATACACAGCAGGAGCATGCACCTCTCTTGGCTTGCTGACAAGTGCAGCGGTGGTGAACTCCGACCGGCTCGTACATGCGTATTGCTGTAGTGTTTGAAGCAGGTGTGCACGTTCAAAACAACACCTCCTATCAAAGGTAAGGGCCACATCATCGGTTGACCTGGGTACCAGGTACATGTTTTTTTATCATCGATGCGGCGCAATCCGCGTGTTGGCGTGCTGGCCCCGGTTTTCTCTCTCTCCTCTCTCTAGGTCCAGGTGCAATTTTGATCCTCACTCAGGAAAAATCGCCGCGTTCTTGTAGCTAGCACGAATTGTCATTAAGCCAAGAATGGCCCTCCTCTAGCTCGGTTTCAACTCTGCCTCGAAGGAAACACATGTTTCGTGCAAGAGCTCCAGCAAAAGGCAGATGAAAAATGTTTCACTGCAAGGACTCTTCTAGTCTACTACTACTGCTTGTACCACATGTTTTTTTCCGTTTTATTTTCATCACTAGAATACACGTGTACTACTGTATGTAGGGGGAATGATTTACCCCCCGCCCCCCAATCGAACGGGCGACCAGAATGCTTGGGAAGTCTGCCCAGATAGTGCATACGAAGGTGTGGTACGATTTTGTGGGAAATTAAAAAAAATATATGTGTTTGTGGTGACAGGTTATAAAAGGTGTGAAAAATGTTCCATCTAGACTAGATAGACTAGTCTACATGAAGTAGGGGCCCCTGTTTAGCAACTCCTAGACCTCCACCTCCCCACACATCCGGTGCAGGCGCACACCGTAGCAACCTTGGCAAGCATGCCCCTGAGGTGCCCGCAGTTCCACATCCGGCTGTTTGCGCAACTTTCCATCGGCGCACGGCATGTATGTTGCGTGTGAGTACGTGTCCCGCGGTCTTGTGTCTTGTGCGTGGAGGAAAGCGGGGCCTCCTAAAATTTGAACCGGTGGTCGCTATTGCCCGCTGAAAACAGCCCAATAAGTCGCTATTGAGGGTTCGACCTAGCGACCGGAGTGCATTGGTGGCACGAGATTTTGGGTCGCTCCCTTGTCGCTAAACAGGGGGTCGCTAAACCGGGGTCCCCACTGCTGTATAGAATAGTCCTCTAGCTCCAGCTGGCATCACTGATACAAAATCTTTCAGTGTATTTAGTCTATAATAGACTATGCTTTACCAAACTCAAAAATAAGCCCAGCTTCCAGCCGGTTTCCCACCATTCATTGTTATGGCATCAGCACATCCATCCCTCTCGACTGGGTTTATATCTCGGACGGGTAGTCTTTCTGCGTGATAATGTTTTCTTTCTAAAAAGGTTGAAGAAATTGAATCATGATATATATGTTGTAGCAGGTGCATAGACTACAGCAGTATGCATGTTGAGAGGTGTTGAGGATG